CAAGAATCCAGACAGTGAGGAAAGAAGGAAGGAAGATTCTTTTCTCGCAAACGTCTTTCAGATTCTTTCAGAAACAACCCTTCCCGGAGTCCCAAGACCCAAGAGCGAGCCCACTTTTTGCAGCTTGGGCTCGGTGGTTCAAGGCTTGCAGGTCCTCAGCTCACGGTCGCGTTCCAAGGAGCTCCCGGCTCACCGAAATCTCTAGCTTCCTACATGCAGCCACTTCCTCAGTTCGAACAAAGCTGCAGCATTCCGCGTCCCTGGAGGGCAAAGAATGACGTCCTACGACTTCTCAACTACAACCCTCTTGTTTCTGGGCCTACCTGCTGCTCAAAGCAGCTTTGACACACCCCATTCCTCCAAATCCGCACCCCGGGTTTGCCTCACTTCTTTGAAGCCATGGCGAGCTTCAAACCTTCGTTCGCCTGAGGTGCCACTAAAAGACACGTTAATTGGCAGTCATGTGTCATGAATATTTGTTAAAGCAACAAGGGAAATAACACACAACCTTACAGTCCCTACTGCTTCTTCTACATTTGATGCCCAGCGCAGTTGCTGAAACACTCCAAGGCCAGCGATGCTCTTTGTCGAACCAATGACCCTGGCTGACAGAATAACAACTTGTGGCTTGTCCATCTTTATGTTAGATCCTTCCCTCCTGCTAAGTTGCCCTAGTTCGGAAAACCAGAAGGCTTACATTACTTCTGGTTGGTTCCTGCGAGTTCTTGCCAAAGGATGGCAAATCTACAAAGAGGCAGATTGGGGAAATACCGTGCTACCTGGATGTTCAACACGCTCAGTAGGGGTTCTTCGTGGCAAGGGGAGTAGCCTCTCCTGCAGACCGCAACCAGGGGTCCCATGCCTTGGGAGATTCTCCAAACAAACACCCAACTAGTCAGGGTAAATGGCTGTGGGTCATCAATGTGTGCCCAAAATCGAACCATGGTAAATGGAAATAAGGACTCAACCTGCGGTCCCCTAGTGGTTTCATTGTGCCCCACTCCGCCCGCTGCGGACGAGGCGGCCAGCTTGACCTTCTCAGACTTCTCGGTCACGGCGATGATGGTGCGCCGCTTCAGGATCGAGCCCCTGGCCAGCTGAACGAGCTGACTGGGCGTGGCAGCCATTTTCAAGACGCCGTTTATTGAGAGGCGTCTGTTCGGCTTCCCTAGGCAAAAGGCGTCCCCTAGGAGCCAGGCACGGGGAACAGGGCGAAACTGAAGACGTAGCACGTTGATTGAACAATCAAATGCGCCCGGGCTTGGAACAGATTATCGAATGGCCAGGGCCTTCCATCTATCTCAGCAACCCTTGTTCAGCCCCAAAGCAAAGGCTTCTAAAGCTTTACAATCATGAAGGGGATGACATCATGTGCAAAGGCTATATCACTGAAGTTCTTCCGAGAAAACAGCTTCTGCCAATCTGAAACATGAGGGTTTGCACAGGAAGGTGCTGATTTGGAAAGTCAACAGTCAACACAATGCGAGTGCCATGCCAAAACAGCAGCCCTTGCTTTGCAACAGCAAAGGCTCTGCTTGGAGCCTTGCACTTGCACTGCCTGTGGGCGTTAAACGTCCGTTTCTGTACGGCAGGCGAACAAGCTTGAGTGGACTTGCAAACAGTAGCTTAGGTTAGAACCTCATTCTATTAAGTTGGCTCAAATTGAAGCAGGAACTCAGCCTGTTGGTGGAGGAGACTGCGCAACAAATTCGAAGATGGGGTCATTCGAAGATGCGGTCCAACAGAATGCAAACCGTCAGAAGGGAAATAAAGGACAGTCAAGGCATTTGAGGCGTGTGTGTGTGTGTGTGTGAGTGTGTGTGAGTGTGAGTGTGAGTGTGAGTGTGAGTGTGAGTGTGAGTGTGAGTGTGAGTGTGAGTGTGAGTGTGAGTGTGAGTGTGAGTGTGAGTGTGAGTGTGAGTGTGAGTGTGAGTGTGAGGGTGAGGGTGTGGGTGAGGGTGAGGAGTGAGAGTGAGAGTGAGAGTGAGAGTGAGAGTGAGAGTGAGAGTGAGAGTGAGAGTGAGAGTGAGAGTGAGAGTGAGAGTGAGAGTGAGAGTGCGAGTGCGAGTGCGAGTGCGAGTGCGAGTGCGAGTGCGAGTGCGAGTGCGAGTGCGAGTGCGAGTGCGAGTGCGAGTGCGAGTGCGAGTGCGAGTGCGAGTGCGAGTGCGAGTGCGAGTGCGAGTGCGAGTGCGAGTGCGAGTGCGTGTGCGTGTGCGTGTGCGTGTGCGTGTGCGTGTGCGTGTGTGCGTGTGCGTGTGTGTGTGTGTGTGTGTGCGTGTGTGCGTGTGCGTGTGCGTGCGTGTGCGTGCGTGTGCGTGCGTGTGCGTGTGGGTGCGCGTGGGTGCGGGTGCGGGTGCGGGTGGGTGCGGGTGCGGGTGCGGGTGCGGGTGCGGGTGCGGTGTGCGGGTGCGGTGCGGGTGCGGGTGCGGTGCGGGTGCGGGTGCGGGCGGCGTGCGGCGTGCGCGCCGGCGGTGCGTGCGCGGCGCGCGTGCGCGTGCGCGGTGCGCGTGCCGTGCGCGTGCGCGTGCGCGTGCCTTGCGCGTGCGCTGCGTCGCGCGTCGCGCGTGCGCGTGCGCGCGTGCGCGTGCGCGTGCGCGTGCGTGCGTGCGCGTGCGTGTGCGTGCGTGCGCGTGCGCGTGCGCGTGCGCGTGCGCGTGCGCGTGCGCGTGCGCGTGCGCGTGTGCGTGTGCGTGTGCGTGTGCGTGTGCGTGTGCGTGTGCGTGTGCGTGTGCGTGTGCGTGTGCGTGTGTGCGTGTGCGTGTGCGTGTGCGTGTGCGTGTGCGTGTGCGTGTGCGTGTGCGTGTGTGCGTGTGTGCGTGTGTGTGTGTGCGTGTGTGTGTGTGTGTGTGCGTGTGTGTGTGTGTGCGTGTGTGCGTGTGTGTGTGTGTGTGTGTGTGTGTGTGTGTGTGTGTGTGTGTGTGTGTGTGTGTGTGTGTGTGTGTGTGTGTGTGTGTGTGTGTGTGTGTGTGTGTGTGTGTTTTTGTTCAGCTCCCTTCTCCGTTCAAGCTGTGGACTTGACAGCGAGATCTTGTGAAGAACATTTGCCATGTCAACTTGTATCTTTTTCTCCCTCGTGATCCCTGATGTTTGCCACCACCAGACGTGGACGCCCGCCTGGGTCGAGCAGGAGGCTTCTCTTCGCGTTTCTCCTTTGCGCCCGTGAGGGTCACAGGCCAACTGGCGGCTAAGAAAGCTTCGATGGGCTTCGTGAGTCGATCACTCGGTCAGCTAAAGGCTAGGATTGACTTACAGGATTTTCCACTGCGTGGCATGTCGCGAATCATGCCATCTCCTTCTAAAAACATCCAAGCAGTGGCAAACACAAAGCGTCGCTACTGGCATTGCAAAAGCACCTCGATCCATGCCGTTCAAGGTCGCCATGCCGCATGCGCCAAACACAGTTCCATGTCCCTGTGAGTCACGTGAGCCCCGGTCGTGTCCTTTGGGCCCTTGGAGGTTGCCTGTGGCTCTGCCAGCTTCAGGGGAAGCAGCAGCTGCCGTACAGACTTACGTCGGCCGGCTGCCAGGTCGGCCTGAGGGACAGCCAACGCAAAGTGACTCCAGCCTTGAGGCAATATGCAAAGTCTCGCCCTTGAGGTCTGATTATTCAACTCACTGGCCGAAAGGACCCGGAAACAAAGGCTTAACCTTTTGGAACCTCGACTACCAGTGGACCAACAAGGGAAACACAAAAGGTTAAAAGTTCGGCTTTGAACAACTGAGTCAACCGCATGACAGGGGAATATGGGAACTGTGACAGGGCACAGTTGCAAAGACCACTGCAAGAAGTTGCTGCCAAGAAAGGGTTTTGGAAAGGCATTGATTTTACCCGGGCGATCGCACTCCGCCTTGACGTCCGGTTCAGAGCTGCGGCGCGCCTGAGCTCCCAGGAGATCGCTTTCAAAGACCATGTGTAAATGGCTCCCGGGCCATTTCTGTTTTGAGGGCAGAAACAAAAGGTTGACCTCTTTGGCCCTTGACTAAACCTAGACCACAGGAAAACCCAAAGGTCGAAAGGTCGACATCGATGACTTGCCCCGCTTGAAATCTCTGCAAGCTCAGAGCCCGCCTGCGGAGCAAAGGCGGCGGCAGCCGCCTCCTCGCGTCTGAAGGGCCTGGAGCAGTGGACTAAATCAGTCACACAAGCGCGGCCCAGGGGTATGAAGCTAAGATGCGGATCCTTTTGCGAACATCATGTTGCATGGGGATGTATGTCCAAGCGCTTTGTTTTTCTGGCTCCTGACCGGCGTGGGGAAAAAGCGTGCCTGAACTCCTTCCAAACCCGCCTGAGATTCCACAAATGCCCATGGCACTGGGGTTTGAGGTGCCAGAGGGGCAGCAGGGCAACCAGCTAGTGGTCCAAACGCCCTTTTGGGCTGACTACTTGTTGCTCAACCAGTTGAAGAAGGACAAGTGCTGCATGCCACTCCGAAGCTAAGACCATGGCCACTGCCTGAACTGCGGAACTGCAAACTAACAGTTTAAGTGGCTCAGGCCTGGTTCGCTGCATCCCTCTCGACGTGCGGGGAACGAGCCACTGGTTCAAAAAAGATGCCTGATGAACCACTGAGCTTCAACCAAAATAGGCGCACTCTATCCGATTGAGGGTGCTCTACTCCCAGTCCCATGCAGCATGCCACATGCTGCCACGTGGTTGTGGCAGGTTCCTTCGCCGATTGCTGCCGTTTGCTGTCTTTGGGGTCAATTGCCAACATGATCCATCGGCATCATATTGCCGAGAAACTGCTTCCGGCTGAGGGAAACACAGGAAATAGGAACGAAAATGCAGAAGCCAACCCCCCCCAATGCCATTTATCGGGGGATCCTGCAACGAGACTGGGTTTGAGCAATGCAACGACTGTGCTCAGCTTCCGGTGGACCCCGCCTGTCTAGCAGCTTCATGCGAGCCTGCGGCAAAGCAAGAGCCTTCTAAGCCAAATTGTCCAGCTAGTGAACGGTTTGTGACCCTTTCAAAGAACATCATGTTTTGCTCTCTTACTTTACGTGGGAGCAGCCAAGAGTGAATCAACAACAGAGTAGCCACCGAACACTGTAGGAACGCGCGTGCCCGCAAGAGCCGTACTGCGAACCACGTCCATCTGATGTGCTTGCGCCAACGGCTCGTCAAACGTGGGCTCTGGGCCCGCAAATGCCCAGAGATGCCAAAGATTCAAGACCCGTACAGCCTCGCCAAGCTGCCATATTTGCCAAACAACCGCACCCGTAAAACTCCGAAGCAGTATTGGCCGCATGCGGGCGGAAAATCGTCCGACATCTCTGCTCCTTCGAGGAATGCACTTGGCAGAGGTGGTCAAGCGTATGAACCACCAGCTGCATGAGAATTGGTCAACACAAGTGTCACATCGGAAAAAGTGACAAGACCAAGATCGCAGCAAAGTTGCTCCCTGCTGGAGATTCAAAGAGTGCGGATTTTAAAAACGAGCCACAACGCACATAGCAACACCCCAAAAGCAAGCCAACGTTAGCACCCACTTGGAAGCCATACTACTCGCAACATCCCGAATCGATTGTCAACAACATCACACGCGTTGAGCAGGGTGTCCCGAAAAGCAACATCCCGCACATCACAGCAAGCGGAGCGACGCTCAACATCTGGCAAGATTATGTCGGTCAAAACGTACGTGGAGCACTGCAAGTCCAGCAAGCACTTGCATTTGCTTGAGCCCCCTGGAAAAATAAAACCAGTAGTGATCGATTCCCTATAAAACCAACAGGGGGAAGAACAATATGATACAAATGGACGAGTATGACATACATCGATGTTGCTCCAAGACAAATGTCGGCGGTTTGTTTTCTTCTCCGCACCTCCAGCAGCTGCTTCCGCAACTCCTCCGTCTCCTTCTGCATGCCGCCCACCCGGCTGCTGAGCTCTTCTGCCTTGCAGGGTGGGAGCCCCCGGAAAAAACCGCAGGGAAAATGTCGACCCCAGTCCAGGAAAGATGTCGACTCCTGTTTCGGACACGTTGCGATTGAGGAGTCACGAACGAAATGAAAGAAACCAAGACTCTGACTGATGCTGCCAAGACAGTTCCATGGACCATCCCTGGATCCTCCAAGGCGTGTTTTTTTTGGTGCTCTTTCAAGAAAAAGTGCTTTTTGGCTGAAAAAGCGCTTTTGCTTGATGCGGGCTTTTCCCAGTGATGCATGGTTTTCTTGCTTGGGCTTGTGCTGAAAAAGCGCTTTTCCTCGGTCAAAAAGCGCTTTTACCCGGCCAAAACGCGCTTTTTCTGACACGCTTCGCGGCAATCTTGAAAAAGAGCAGTTGTTGGGTCAAAAAGCGTTTTTTGAACAAAACAGCGGAAATTATTGCTTTTTCGCCAAACGGCGGAAATTTTGCACACCCGGAGTGCCCAGGACAAGCAAGTCGGATTCCAGCAGCTAGCAAGCTTTGTGCTATTTGCTCTTCACCCAAACCTCACCACCACAAAGGAAGCACGTAGCAAGCATAGGGGAATCAACAGGAAGGCAAGGCCCTAAAAGCAATCATCGGAAACCCTCACAAGAAGGAAGCAAAGCTAAGTAAGTAAGTAACTAAGTAAGTAAGTGACTAAAGGTTCCCTTGCATAACTGTGCTTGGCTGTTGTTGTGGTGTGGTAACTCTCGCAACTATGCAACAGGGGGGAGCTGTCGGCCTTTTACCAAACAAATCACAAGAAGAACAAAACAACCAACAAAAAAACAAACAAACAAACAAACAAACAAACAAACAAACACAAACACACAAACACACAAACACACAAACAAAAACCATAGAACGAAACAAGGTAGCAAGGATGCTAGGAAGCAAGGAAGCAAGCAAACAAGCGCATAAACAAACTGTTAAGCAAGTAAGCAAGCAGCCAAGAAAACGCAAGCAAAACAACCAAAGTCAAACCAAACCAAAATACAGCACGCCCCTCCCCCAAAAAGGGTAAAAGGGGACCTTGGATAAGGCTTCTGTTTCAGCCTTGGGCGGGGTCCGCTCCAGGGGGGGGGGCGGTTCGGGTTCGGGTTCGGGTTCGGGTTCGGGTTCGGGTTCGGGTTCGGGTTCGGGTTCGGGTTCGGGTTCGGGTTCGGGCTCGGGTTCGGGTTCGGGTTCGGGTTCGGGCGGGGTCCGCTCCAGGGCGGGGGGGGGGTTTCGGGTTCGGGTTCGGGCTCGGGCTCGGGTTCGGGTTCGGGTTCATGTTCGGTTTTTGATTTTAAGGGGCGGGGGGGGGGGGGGGTGATTCGGGTTCGGGTTCGGGTTCAGCCCCAAAAGCAAGATCAACCGCCTGGGCGAGCTTGCTGGCGTGCTCCTCCCTCTCCTGCGGAGCGACACATCTTGGCAGTGCCACCGCGTAGGTTTACAGGTTTTGGCTGGCAACCAGGACGGGGATCACTCATACCCATGACAAAACCACCAGCCGAAACAAGCCGCGGGGGAAAAAAACAAACCAAACAACAAAACGGCCAATAAAAAGATGTGGCTAGAGCCTTTATGCACGGCTGGGATGCGCAAAGGCTCTTTGATGAATCTGGGAAAGACTGCTCCTTTACGTGAAGAGCGAAGGTTGCCAAAACAAGGCTTGAGGCCAGCAACAGCCAATGTGTGTTCAATGGCGTTGGTGCCTGTGTGCAACCAATTGCGCTGCTCCCCTACAACTTTCAGCCGGTTCCAACAACAAACAATTTACATCCAAAGCTTGTTGCCCACACACCCCACAAGAACAAACGGGACTTAAAACAGAACAGCCAAATTATGGCGGGCTGCCCAGCACGCAGCAACAGCAAACAATCTCCCATGAAAATTGGACCAGGGCCCGAAACAGCAAAATTTAAGCCACAACACCAATACGCAATAATTCGAAACATGAGTTCTGTTCCAAATAAATGAAGCAATACTTTACCAACCGGATACCTGTATTTCATGGTGCCCAACCCAAACCCTTTCGCTTCTCAAAGGGGACCAACTTTGACTCTCAAACTGTCATGGGCGGTTCGATTGCGATCACCAAATGGGATTCTACCAATCAATCTACAATATTCGGCTGCCCCAAATCAGTGCGGTCCGCGAAACGGGTCGTCAAGAAATGGGCACCCCCCCCACACAAAGAAAGACTATAGTGATTTGTCTGTTGGTTTCCCGTTTCAGCCACCCCAGGTACCAACTCCTAAAATTCCCAACCTCGCCGGGGCCCGCGAGGAAAAAGTCCCTCGCCTGCTGCACTTCGGCCACCACGCGCTCGCGCTCCGACTTCAAGCTGCGCTCCACCTCTGCGAACTTGCCCTTGGCGGCCTGCAAAAGTGAGAAAAAAGCGCACAGAGTCGGTGCACAGAGTCGGTCTGCCCCCAGAGTTTGTTTTGTCTTCTCGTGGCGGGGAATCGATTTTGCTGGACCTCACTGGAACTTTTGAGAAAGTCCAAGGAAGAATCCCGATCCCCAAAAACAGTGCGCCACAATCCTCACCAAACATAGCAAGTGATAGTGTATGTATTCGTTTGTAATAATAGGTGTGCGGCACGAATTGGTGCGGCAAGATGATGTGCAAAACAAGCCATGCCTCCCCGAATTCAACGAGATAGCCCTTTCATCCTTCCCCATGTCCTGCCGCAATCAGTGAAACTTCCAGTACGGCAATAATCCCCTTGATTTTCAGCCGTCCGCTTTTTGAGGGCTTACATTCCAGGATGCAGGCACTACTGCCAGTCAGCAAATAGCAGGCATTGCAGTCCCGGTATGAATGAAGCGATTGGTGCACTCATGGCGGGCACGGGCGAGCAGCAACTTCGCTGCATCGACCAGGTCCAAGAAGGCACCCTGAACTTGATTCCAGTCCATTAGGGAGGTTTAGCTGATAAATCCAGACTTTGACTGAGAGTGTCACCGGTCCAACGCTCCGGAACATGACGCAGCTCTCCTATTTTGCCCCCGCTCTTCTTTGCGGAAATCTGCGAACTGTTGACCCCAAATTGATCAACCCGAGATTATTAATAAGGGATGTTCCCCTCCAAAAGTGATGAACCCGGGGACACCCCCTATTACAAACAACAAACTGGGGTTGCCTAATATGGGGTCAACATTAGGGGCCCCATCATGGGTTACCCAGCTCCACATGTTTCATCTCAGTTGCCCAAAGGACCTGGAAACAAAAGGTTAACCTTTTGGGGCCATGACCAGAAATGGACCAAAATGGGAAAACCAAAAGGCCAAAAGGTTGGCTTTGGTCAACTAAGTTCATTTCGCTGCCTGCAGGGACTCGTCATTCTCCGCCTGCACCGCCTCCAACTGCTTCCGGAAGTTGTCCTGGAAGATGCGAGCGACACGCATCATGGACTAGTCACACATGGGGCCGTGTTTTTGTGGGGAGGTGCCCTCTTCGGGGTGGGTATTTAAGGGAAACTCAAAGGAAACCACGTTTGTGGGGTGCCCCGGTTTTGACACATACCAAACTTGGTTGGGGAGTCCAACAATGTCATGCTTGCAAGGCAGGAAGCACTGAACTGCCGCTGGACATCCCACCAATCCTGTGAAAGCGTGTGCTACAAGCAAATTGATCTCTGAACTGGCAAGGTGCAATAGCAACCCATGGACGCAACTGTGCCAAGCAGGTCAACATACATGAAGCCATCGCCCTGAAGAAGCCCTGCAAAATGCAAACTCACCATCGGCGAGTGCCCCAAGCTCCAAAAAGGAGTTAAAGAACTTGCCGTACAGTTCTCTCACTTTTGAAACGACGGGAAATTCCATCAGCCTGCTGCGAGTGAAACGCATGGATGTGGTGTGCGTACAAGCCCGCACCGTTTGCCGTGCGTGCTCAAAACGCACTAGCCAGCCAGCAAGACACCATGTCACTTCAGGCATTGGAGACAGAGTTGGCAACCTGTGATCTAGCGCACTTAGGGCACCAACCACCGATGTCGCCCAAACATGAAGCGTTAAAAAAAAAAATGCTAGTTATGCTACCCTCCCCACCCTCCCCCTTTTGCCGCAAACACACACACACACCCCACCTGCGAGTTCCGCATCTGCTCGGTGAGCTGCCCCACATGGCGCTCGTAGAGCTCCTGCAACTTCGAAAGCTTCAGCACAGTGTCATGATATGGCCATGGGTCAGAAGCCCGGTTAGACCCCGAGTGAACATCTCAATCCCCACTAAAATGAGTAAAATGGGTGGTGCACCTACCCCAAAATGGTGCCATTGTTTTTGACCCACAGCCATATCCTGGAATCCTGTCAAGAAATTGTGTGGGTATCACCCAGGCGGGCACAGTATCACTTGCACGCCTCTTACATGGCTTTACCACACTCCTCAAGTCTGAAAAGGCTCCTTCACCCTCTTGGCAGCCTGCCTGAACATTCCCCGATGTGCCGACAAAGGAGAGATCAACCTTCAGGCACTGCAATCCTGGTTTGTTCCCAGGGTGGCCTGGCCCCGAGGCTAGTCGGAAGAGCTGTCACCGGACAAAAGGTTATATGAAGTCGTATACGGTTGGACCAACACTTGGGTTGGAGAAAACGCCAATCAACAATCTCCAGGTGTTGATGCAGTAGAATATGAGCCTTTGCGAACGACTTGCTGCCTGCAAAGCGCAGCCAGCTGCCGCTTTGACCAAAAGGGCAACTGCGAAGCGCTAGCGGCACTAGCACGAAGCACCCAGGTCTGCAAAAGGCACCTCCCACAAGGAGCCCCGTCAAGCGCTCAGAAAGGAACCCGAGCCCTCGCACTCCAAAAGACCCCCCAAGCACTTGCGGCCCCCGCCTGCTGGCGCTTGCCGCTCTCCTCCAGGGCTCGGATCTTCGCCTCCTGCGCCTCCGCCTGGTCCTCTTGCCGCTTCAGCTTCAGCGCCTAGCTCCGGCTCGGCTGTGGTTTCTCGGCTGATTTCTGCTCCCCTTCTAAAAGTTTAACTTTCAGGGGTTTAACGGAAAACCCATTAGTAAGGCCCATTAGTTGGCAAAAAGTTAAAGTCCTAACATCCAAGCAGGATGCAACAAAGGTTTGCTGCCCAGATCCATCGGTTCCGATATCGCTCGCTGGGGAGGGTGGGGCTCATTGTTCTGTGGCAAAAAACTTTCGAGGCATTCCGACGGGCAAAGGGTAAAAGAGGATCTGGTCGAACATGTTGCAAACGGAGTAGGCAAGTAGGAGGAAGGTTCAACCACAGTCCCTAAGAGTGACAAATACCAAACTGGTGCAGGGGGTTGCCACCATGCGCCCGCCTGTGCCCGTTGCATCCCTGGGCACCAGAACGCGACACAAAGCGTCCAAGGTGCCAATTGCATCTCGGACGTGCGCTGCTCCTCCTCTTGCCCCAGGCGGGCCTGCGCTGGAGCTGGCCACTTTAGGTAGCTCTGGCTACACGTCTTTGGCGCTTTAGGCTTCTCAGTCGCTCTGAGAAAGGAAGTCTGGGTGAATTACAATAGTTCATCAACCTGAAATAAGGTGGTTGGGGGGCTATTCCCCGCATAAACCACGTCGTTATAATTCACCCAGAGGAAGTGTTGCCCCCTGGCCGAGCGAACAAATGATGAAACACAAGTTCCTCAGAGCCCAATAGTGACTGCGCCCCTATTCGTGTGAAAGCGCTTTGACAGTGCCAGGAACCCTTGCAAACTGTTCACGCGTCTGTGTGACTATGTCACTATGTCATAAATCAGCATCTGTTGCATCCAGCTTGGCCTGGTCCAGCATCTGTTGCAGGGACCGCTCCCGCCGCTCGAACTCTTGCTTCATCAGAGCCACCTTCCGGGGAAGTACTTTATACGACCCCCCCTTTGAAGGCAGCATGCAAAGCCTAGCGGAAAAGCCGCTACGTCACACTCCCTGAAGGACAGCTTAGACTGGATGGGGCTCAAAACTACATGACCTGCTCTCAGAAACCAACGTTGGGCATCACCCTGTCGCGCTGAGCACATGCTCTTCACATCTCTTCACATGCTACAGTTGTTTTAACAGGCTAAGATCAACAGACAGATTGCTGACAGATTTACCCGCTGGCTCACTATAATTCTGGCTCATGAATCTCTGCAAGCGGGAAAGCTGCTGGTGCAAGTCTGAAAGGAACTCGTGCACTGGCGAGGGAAGTCCCGACGCCAGCACCATAGTTTTTTGCTGGGCGTCCAAGGCCTCTGGGTGCCCTAAAATTGATTCCACCCCAACCCACCCACCACATAACGCGAATCATCGCGAATCAAAACTTCGACCCGCCACGAAGCCGCCTCGCAAAGCCATGGTGCTTTCAAGCGGATGTGCAGCAGGGTCCAGGGTGCAGGGGCTAAACAAACGCAACCCAACAGCGCCATTCGCAGTATGTAGGTCGAACTCGCCATGGCCTCCTGCTCTGCGGTCTGCCGGAGCTCCGCAGTCTGGAACTCCATCTGCGCCCGCAAGGAGGTCACCTGCAGAGGAGCACCCATGCAGGCCAAGGCCGCCTCGAAACGGGGAGGAGGCACCATATACTATGTAATACGGTGTATACTATGTATATTACGATGTTCTATTTTTGACTTTTCTTCAAACACGAACACCAACACAAACAATAGCCCCCCGCCCCCACGCACCGCACACACCCACCGCACACACCCACCCACCGCTCGACCCACCCACCCACCCACCCACCCACCCACACACCCCACCCTACCCCAGCCCAGCCCAGCCCAGCCCAGTCCAGCCCAGCCCAGCCCAGCCCACCCCACCCCACCCCAACCCCAACCCCAACCCCAACCCCAACCCCAACCCCAACCCCAACCCCACCCCAGCCCAGCCCAGCCAATCGCAAACACGAACACAAACACAAACTCAAGCACATAAGGGCATACAAACACAAGTCAGACAGGTACCAACTCAGAAAAAAACAACTATCACGGACACCATCTCGAGTGCACAGCGCGAGCAACAACTCTTCTGGGGGTGCCGAAAGCCCAGACGAACAGAGGACAGTGTCCGCAAACGAGCAGGGACATGGATTCCAAGTCTCCGTAGAATGACCAACAAGTTGACAAAAACTAAAGCACTTGCACATCGCGGCCATGCTTCAAACGAGCTCGAAGTACTCCTTCCCAAGACAAGAAACCCCAGAAAGGCAGGTCAGTCTCTTGTTGGTTTTCAAAAAAACAAAGTTCAAAGGCGGGCCTGGCTGTCCTTCTGCTTTCGCAAGAGGTCCACCTACAGGCGAGGCGCGTGCAAATGCCTCCAGAAGGAGGCCCCAAAGCCCATACTGAACAGCCATGAGCCATACACAGGGCGAAATCCACTACCTCTTCCCCGCTTTCTGACGTCATCCGAGCGCACTTGCGGGTCTGCATACCAGGAATTGGTGCAACGATCGAATCGCCCGAAGGAACCAACTCAGATTCACGAGTTGGATTCGGTGCAAGATGTCAGAGGCAACCCTTGGCTCTAGAAACCCATGCAGTTTCAAGAGGAGTATGAAACAAGCAAACACATCCAAACAGTGGACAGAAACGCGGCGAAATTGCATCCAACCCGAGCCACCCAGTGACTCACTTCCGCCTCTTGCTGCAGGGCCCTCTCCTTCTCAGCCGCACGTTGCTCCAGCATCTCAACCTGCGGTAGGGATTAACTCGACGCTGTAGATGGATCGATGCACCTAAGGATTGTGTAGATAAGTGAATGGAGCCGACATGTTCCCCAAAGGGAGCAGATTACTGCTCATGGTGAGTGGCATTTCTTAAGCAACTCGCAAGCCCCCCCCGCCCATGTGGCTCTTGCTTTCTCACGCTGACACCGCAGCACGCTTCTGCGATGCGGCTGGCAAATCAGTGGGATAGCGCTCACAAGAGATGGTTCATCTGGCTAACCTGGGCTTTGAGAGAGGCGCCCAACATCATATCCAACCACATCTGCTGATCCCACGACTTCCGTTGAAACTCCCAAGTCCAGCCGCGGGCAGAGGGAGCGCCTTTGGCCACTCCCCACAAAACCGGTCAGGTTGGTTTGGGCCATGAGGGGAGCAGGGAAGCAGCTTGCCGTTTGCCCGCTGGTTCGGTCGCTATGATGGAGATCTGATCAACTGGCAGCGGCCGAGGCTTTATTGACACACAATGCTGATTGGACGGCGCCACCACTTTACCAGCGGATTGAAGCAACATGTTACACGTAGCAAATAGCTGTAAAGGGTACTCATGCATGCCCAAATGGACGCAGACTCAAACAGCAACAACATAATAAGCGTGGCAACACATTGACAACACATGTTCGTCTCAGAGGTATGCAACCTCTCCAACTCACTCACACGCACAAGCATGCATGTTGCAGCTATTAGCCCTGGAGCCGGTGATCAGTAAATTTCAGCTGTGTCGAACCTAAAACTATGCAGACACGCAAAGATACCACACATGTTCCAGGTTCTCCCCCCACCTCCCACTCATGGTCATGGTACCGCCCTGGTGGAGTGGCTTTGGGTGGGGTTGATTGAGGGTTTCAAGTCAGCAAATGGGTGTAGAATCAGCTCGAGGTTGGATTGACGGCCGGGGGTGCCGGGGCATTTGGGTCTGAGCAGGTCGTTTGTTGTTCGCTGACGGAACACCAAAGTAATTACCAGCTTCAGGTCTCCCAGATCGGCCTAGATGTATCTCGTCGGCTGATTGTCCGGAAAGGGCACATGCATTCCCTGCCCCAAGCTTGGCAAACTGGCATTTCCAGGAAGATAAGTCTCCCGTGACATAGCCTTTGTCACTTCTCATGCCAGGCACCTCTCGAGATAGTTCGGGTGGCGGCAAACGCCACACAAAACTGGCATCCCATATTTTGGCAGAAGACTCGACCAGTCGCAATTCCATATCGACTTCTGGCAATAAAACCGGCCAGTAGCATCAGCAACAAAATCTGCCGCCCATGATTTACCAGCAACAAAGCATGTTTTCCGCTGGGTTGAGTGCACTTGTCTGCAACATAAAAATCTGCCGGGCACGCGTGCACCAACAGGAAATGCACTTCTGAAAGATAACATTGTTCCACTTGAGGCACCGGAATATTCCAAACTTTCCTGGAAACATGCTGCACTTGCCCTGTCATCAGGCATGTCGACCAAACAATCAAAGAAGCATCTAGACTGGCTTTCCGCTAGACAAGTCTTAATGCAAGAAAGGCCGAAGGGAGCTGTTGGAGAAGCCCGCACAAAAGAAGCGCGCCTTTCTTGGGTCCATTCTTAGGATTGGAACAACACTGGTCTGCCATCAAATACCACTAGACAGGTTCTGCAACGGTCAACGTGTGCGCAACTGAGCTGTGAGTCTTGCTGCTGAGTGCCGCCTGGTGAGCTTGTCACATGCCGCCAGAATTGCCATAACACAAGGCGTGGAGGAAATTCCCTCCAGAAGTTGGCCACATGCCGGGCAACAATCAGGACATGTGTTTATATGCATGTCATGCGTGTGTGTCAAGCGGATGCATATCCTCCGCAAAGCATGTGTCACCACTGCCATTAGTTTCCATCATCGAACGAAAACGCGAAAAACAAACGCATGCAATCGCTCAGTTCAGGGATGCATAATCCGCCGCATGTCGTTCCCATAAATCCAATCAGGCCCCCTCGGCTTGGTTAAGCGCAAAAAAAAGCGACATGCACTGGCATTTCTCAGGGATCGTAGGGTTTAAGAAGACCAGGCAACCCGCTGCGGCGTGTGCGTGGTTGCAGTGCTGAGTACGCGCGCTTGGACGGGTGTGCTTACAATTTGGCAGGCGTGGGTACGCTGCTGAGCGGGTGCACTTGAGCGGGTGCGCCTAGCGTTTGGCAGGCATGGATACAGCACCGAGAGGGTGCGCTTGGGTGGGCGCTTCCCACTGGCAGGCATAGATGTAGTGCTGAGCGGGCACACGGTGTTCTTTACCATTTCGCAGACACGGATAGTGCTGAGCGGGTGCGCGTGGGCGGGTGCGCGTGGGCGGGTGCGCTGACGATTTAACAGAATGGACACGGTGCTGATGAGCGGGTGTGCTTACTGTATATGGTTACAGTGCTGAGCGGGTGCTTGGGCGGGTGTGCTTACCATTTGGCAAGCGTGGCTACAGTGCTGAACGAGAGCGCTTGGGCGGGTGTGCCTACCATCTGGTAGGCGTGGATAAAGTGCTGAGCGGGTGCACTTGCGCGGGTGTCGGTGTGCTTGCCTTTTGGCAAGCATGCTTACAGTAATGAGCGGGCGCACTTCTGGCGCCGGCGCACGGAGCGGTGAGATACGCAGTGTGCTGCAACACTGTGAATTTCCATACGAAATGCACGCTTTGCGGCCGGAATGTGGTGAAAGCGCGCGCCGTGTGCATGGACAGCCTGCCTACGGTCACCCTACCCTACCCTACGGTGACCCTACCCTACGGTGACCCTACTCTACCGTGACCCTACCCTACGGTGACCCGACCCTACGGTGACCCTACAGCAACCGACCCTACCTCACCCTACCTACCGCACCGTGACCCTAGTGTGGAGGTAGCCCTAGTGTGGGGTCGTGTGACAGCAGGGTACGGTGTTGTGACAGAAGGGTAGGGTAGGGTTGGGTGACCCTAGGGTAGGGTCACCCTACCCTGCACGGTCACCCTTTTCCACGGAGAGCCTGCCAAACCCTACGGCGACCGTACCCTACGGTCACCCTACCCTACCCTGCGGTGCCTTCACCCCAAACAAACTCTTGCCCCTCGAATGCGTGAGTGTCGCCGTTTCAACCCTGCACCCATCTCAGCGGAACCCAAGGCCCAGGATTTGTGCTTGCGCCATGAACATCTTGGCCCAAAACCATCGAGGGCAATCCGCAGCTTTGGCTGGTAGAAGCCGTTGACCAAAAAAAACCACCTGGACTTAGGAATCTCTCAGCTCCCTCCTTACCCCCCCAGGCAAGCTCGCCACAATTCGTGCCCTGACTGAGCAGTGTAGAAGATTGCAGTTTGGCCCGGAAGTAAAGGTCTTGTTCCGTGCCTAGTTGATGGCCCGAAATTGACTCATTGCTGTGGGGCAGGCTTGCCGTCAGGAAAGAAACAAGTCTTTGTCATGGCATGTCATGGCATCATTGGTGAGGGCATCTTTGTCGCCCTGCTCCGCTATCTGCATAAACTCCACCGAGGTTGGCTCAGCAGGTACGGGTGAAAGGCAAATGCCGGCCGCTTCTGGGCTTCAGAAGTGCGGCTTGACAGGGCTGTGGGTCATTCAAATCACTGGTGCCACACCCAAGCCTTCATATCGTGGGTGACTCGGGGCTGATTCCAGGCTGCAAAACAAACCACTGCGCGCAAAAGCATGCAAAGGATAAGTGAAGATCGCGCAGGAACCCACCCGACTTAAATCAAAGAAGAAATGTACCAAGGACTTGCCAGCACCAGGCTGCGAGACCGTTCTGGAGAGGCCAGCTCTTGGACGGAATTGCGATGCTGCTTTCCTTTTCAATGCAAACAGCTTGATTCGTGATCC